ATGGCAGAGGACAGGTGAGTAATTCTGTCATTTCATTTGTTGCATGTGTCTGGTCAAGTATGACTTAAACAAAAACCCATTAAATTGTGGACTGAGCTTGCTTCAGTGGAGAAACACCATTTATAGGTTAGTGAATTTTTTCCTGGTTGCTTAAAGAGACAGTCAAGTAATTAGGCTCTAGTTTGTTTTGTATTAAGGTTTTGTAAATCTATTAACCAATGTTTTAAATAAAACTTTCAAAGTATTCCCTTGCAGTGTTGGAAATCTCCGCACAACAGCCTCATGCTTCTATATGAAACCCAGAAAGTGAAACTGCGTGAACAGTCAGGACTGGCTTCGCTCTCCAAGCTGAGATGATACAAAAAGGAAACAAATGTAAACACTGGAAAGAACATTAGAATTTTTTTGGAATCTAAGGAAATAGCCCTGAGATCTTTAAATTGTAGTAGCAAAGGCTTCAATCATCAGCATGGGTAGAACCTGGGGACCTTCTCTTCCAAACCCCAACTTCAACCACTTGGAGCTAGAGGAAAGCTTCCTTTAGTTACAGAACTAAAACTAGATGCATTTTTTCAAACTTTTTTCATGGATTTTTATTTTTTTCCCCAACAATATTTGTTCTAAAAAGACTCAATTTTTTTTGAGGCTTTTGGATTCAAATTCTGTCAAGTATTTATGAAAATGTTTACCTAAATGTGGGATTTTCACTAAATGAAACATTTAGATCATCATTTTGATAATGCTTTCAATATAAACTAACAATGTTTCAAATAATTTTGAAAAAAATTGAAAAATGGGTCCATTTCTAATCCTGGGAGAATCGGAAATAATGGTGCAATTTCACTAATAATTTTGTTCAGCTTTTGATCAGCTTTGTTACAGTGGGTTAATGTTCTTTGTGAGTCAACCACTAGAAAGTGACAGCCACAAAATAATTTCAGATAGTTGAGAGCAATGGCCCAGACACACACACACACGTGCCACTAGATTTCATATTGCTTCCAACGGGTTCTAGTTCTCAGGCATTTGGGGTTCACAGGAGCTCAAACCTAACATTTGTGCATTAACAGCAATAAATTAGTAGCCACCGACGTCTAACTCGGAGCCTCCTGTTCCCATACACAAGCCCCTCTTTCTTACAACAAAGCCCGTTGCCAAGTTTGTCCACATATCTATTCAAGGGACACCATCATAGGACCTAATCACATCAGCCACACTATCAGAGGCTCATTCACTTGCACATCTACCACTGTGATATATGCCATCATGTGCCAGCAATGCCCCTCTGCCATGTACATTGGCCAAACTGGACAGTCTCTACGCAAAAGAATAAATGGACACAAATCAGACGTCAAGAATTATAACATTCAAAAACCAGTTGGAGAACACTTCAACCTCCCTGGTCACTCAATTACAGACCTAAAAGTTAAGTATCGGGGGTAGCCGTGTTAGTCTGTATCTACAAAAACAACGAGTCTGATGGCACCTTAAAGACTGACAGATTTATTTGGGCATAAGCTTTAGTGGGTAAAAACCTCACTTTATGCATCCGAAGAAGTGAGGTTTTTACCCACGAAAGCTTATGCCCAAATAAATCTGTTAGTCTTTAAGGTGCCACCAGACTCCTTGTTGTTTTTGTAGACCTAAAAGTTGCAATTCTTCAAACAAAAAAACTTCAAAAACAGACTCCACCGAGAAACTGGAATTAATTTGCAAATTGGACACCATTAAATTAGGTTTGAATAAAGACTGGGAATGGATGGGTCATTACACAAAGTAAAAACTATTTCCCCATGCTATTTTCCCCCTACTTGCATTACTTGCATCTGAAGAAGTGAGGTTCTGACCCACAAAAGCTTATGATCCCAATACTTCTGTTAGTCTTAAAGGTGCCACAGGACCCTCTGTTGCTTTCCCCCTACTGTTACTCACACCTTCTTGTCAACTGTTTGAAATGGACCATCCTGATTATCACTACAAAAGTTTTTTTTCTCCTGCTGATAATAGCCCACCTTAATTGGTCTCGTAAGAGTTGGTATGTTCTCTGTGTATATATATCTTCCTACTGTATTTTCCACAAATATGAAAATCTATTCGGAATTCCTCAATAATATATTATATTGTTTGAGTAAGTGTGGCAAAAGTTAATGGCATGCCAATCAATAAAGATGCATGTCTAGTGTCACAGCCAAATTATGGTATATCTGTGATCCAAAAATCCTGCTTTGATTTTAAACAAGTTTTCTTGTTCTGAAGTTGTTAGTAAATAAAATGGACAGTTTTAATATAAACTAAATAATTCAAAATATTACAATGTATTTAAAGAAAAGCCATTTCTAATGCTAGATATTGAAGAAATGTGCTCCAGTTAGGCAAACAAGAATATCAGCATCTGGTGTACCAGACTAGAATCTCCAACTTTTGGTCAAACCATACCCTATTTTGGGAAAGTTGCAGGACAAATTTACACACACACACACACACACACACACACACGTATTAACCCAACATATTTTTGGAAAGATAGCAATTAGAACTGGTTGAAACTTTTCCATTGGAACAATTTTCTTTTGGAAAATGCTGATTTGACAGATTGAAGAGCTGTGTTTCATCTTTATAACGTAGTCAACACAAAACACTTAAATAGGATTGTTTTATTATTTCCTAAATGATTTTTTCCACACATTTCATTTTTGCGGGCAAGGATTTTCCTTCTGATTTGGGACAAAAGGAAATGTTCAAATGTTGGAATTGCCCAGCATTTGACTAGCTTTAAGAGCAACATTGCTACAGAACAACAGTTAAAGGTGTTGCTAGTCCTCTATAATTCAGATTATTCAATTTTTTTGGGGACACACACACACACGAAGAGGCTCATGTTCTACAAAGTGTGTCTTGGGGGAACAATTGGGACAGCATGAAGAAGCTTTACATGTATTACAATACAAAGGGTCTTGCAATTCAGATTGCTTAAAGAAAAGCTACACCCATTTTGCAGAGAACAGGATTCTGAATGTTAACATTGCAAGAAGTCATGTGTTATGTTCAAAGCGAATGATAAAAATAACTCAAATTCAGATGATTCTTGAGCCTTGTTCTGGGTGTGGCTATCTGAGTGAGTGCCATCGACACCAACAAAAGGGGAATCCTCTGCAAAAACAAACTGGAACAGAAGGCAAAATGACTACCGGATAATACAAGTGACCTTTGTGCAAGCAACTAACATATTTAATAAATTTTTATTTATCCATTAAATCAATACAATAAACTGGAAATTGGTTTACCAGTCTCATTGCTGGCTACACGTGTTCATTTTCAGTAAAATGCATGGAAGCCAAATTGGAGCAAAAGGTCAGTTGTAATTAAACCATTTGCAAATACATTTCAGTGTGTATGTCATGCGTTTTCTAATCATTCCGGTTAAGAGGAATGCAGTTGTCAGAATGCCACCTGAAAAAATATTAATAGGAAGGCTCTGCAGCTAACAATGGAAAAATTCTTATCCCAAATCAGGACTATAATCATTTCCAAGTAACACATCTGGTTAAGCAAAGTGTCTTTAGGATTCTCTTCCCCCATTAAAGAAGTCCCTTCAGGTAACTATTGTTTCCTGCAATGTAGAACAAATTGGGAAGTATGCTGCCATTTCTATTTTCTGAAAAATGTCAACATGAATCTTTCAGTTCTTTTGCCTTTATCATGGCAAATAAAGCTTAGTACATTCTCCTGTGTAAGGTTCAAGCATTTTACAAGCTACATGCCACCTTCCCAGCTACCAAGTTCAGTTCAGTTTGACTCGCTTACATTTTTGATAAGCAGTGGAGAAATCCCAGAGGCTACAGCCATCCCCTAGTGCCATTGATAACCATGAATACTTAAAACTTCTGGATGGAGTAATGGAGACTCACCCATGGAAAATATCAGAAAAGGTGTCTGAACACCTTACTATTTTGGACAATACAAAAAATGCATGAAAAGTTGATGCCCTCTTCTGGATAAGAAGTTTTTAGTTTGAAGTTTCAGGGCACAATTAATCATGTATAGTACTCAGCCACTTAAACATGTTTTATTAGGTCAATAACCCACAGATTGAATACACTTGTCCACCCCTTAACTGGGAACTTGACATATAGACAGACTAAATGCAAAGTTAGATATAAAAATTAAGCGTGGTTACATTGAAATATTTCCCATAGTGAATACTTTGCTATGCAATTCCTTGAAAGCGTATCACACATCAGCAGGTTACATCACAACATTGTTTATTATGTGACTTTTTACAATACAAACAAAAATACAGAAATGCAGTATATGAATACAGCTAAATGCAAAATGGTGACTTTTTCAAGAGGCCATGATTCCCATTTCTAGTAAAATAAAGAAGGACTGCACACAGGTAGAAACAGGTTGGTAGTTAACTCCACAATTTTGCCTAAAAATGATCTATAAATGCATTTTCCTGCTACTTACCATAAAATGTAAAAAGGGAGTTAAAGGAAAGATTTACTCACTGGTTCCTACCATATGAAAGAAGCTATATTCTATTTAGCAGGGCCAATATATGAAAAAATATCTAAATTAAATGTTATTACAAAAATGAAGCAGTAATGAAATTCTTCTGGCTAAAGAAGTTACTAAATGAGGATAGCATATATTTAAAGAATCCAAAACAAAGAAGGGTTGTTATAAAAAGCTTTTAGGTGCACTGTAAGCCTATAAGTTTGTTTTTCCATGTGTATTTTTAAACAATGGAAGTGTCAAAAAATAGGGTCAACTGTGTTAGACTAAATTACATTATTGTATATGCTGCACTGAATGGAATTCTTGTATTATAATAGAGAAGCATAGTTTGTATCATATTATGGCAATTTATCCTCACTGAAAACCTTCCAGAGTCCTTGTATTTTGGAATATCCTGTAAACAAAAAAAACCACCAGAACATGATTGTACAACAGTAAAATGTTTTCTTTTGCATTAAAATGACATCTGTTTTAAAAAGGAAAAAGTACTTAGAGCTGTTATTTTTCCAAGTACACAACATCCTAGACAATTCAAGGCATCTCAATCTCCATCAAAATTAACAAAAAATTTGTCATGCTGTTAAATCCATTGTTATGGATACAACTGGTGCAAAATTGGTCAAACGGATCCAACGAACACTGATGTCCAGGCTGGCATATTGGCAACTAATACATAACTGGTGGTCAATAGATGTATTTAAAAGATCTTCCCTTTCTTCTTGTTCTTTTCCAAGGTTCTAAGAAAATAAAACATTTTAAAATAAAAACATTTTATGGACAAAAATATTTAGCACATTATGTATATATTTTTAAAATATGCCATTTTCAGCTGTCCTAGTTTAGAGACAGGAAGGAATTTTCCTTGGCATACTATGCACACAGCACTGGCATAGCAATATTTTTGCCATTACACTCCTACTTCCAGGAGATGGAAGATCTGATGCTTTCAGTCAGATGTTTGAGTTCCCAGCCCTCAAATAAAAGCCAAAGAAAAGTAAGTTAAATTAAATCAGCCTTCAAATTCTAATAAAGTTTTCCTACAGTGATGAATGGTACCTGTTGAGGTTAGTTTTATTTAGCAACTACTGAACATATGTGCCTGCTATAGAAGCTAGGGTTCTCCCCGTTTCCAAAATATGCTCATACATACGAAAAAGCAGTGTGACATTTTGAATGGGCCAAGCAAAAATTTTGATGGTCAAGCTGTGTAGAGGTGTATTAAGATGATCAAATTTTCTTTGAATAATAATTATTACAGAACACGTGGAACATTAGAAACAAACAACTTTAGCAAAAATCCTACGTACCTGGAAGAATTCTGTTGTTCCAAAATACGCTGTTGAGTTTCCCAGTTCGCTTTCTCATCCTCAAACTGGCGGCGCTTTTCCTCTAATTCTTTATGCTGCGCCTCCAAGTTCTTTTTCATTTGCTCATGGCGTCGTTGGAGCTAAGAAATTGAGGCAAAGTACATAGTCAAAAACTGCACAAACACTGCAACATTAGGAACAAGATTAGGAGTTGTATTGTACAGTATGCCACATCAGCTACTGTAACTAAGTGAGGACCCTGGTTAGAGACCAAAACTGTTGATTCCACTCTTTACCACTTCTAACCTATCTTCTTCACCATCTTCCCTCCAAACTTCTTGAGCATGCGGACTATACCTCCTGCCTTTATAATCTATAATGCTCTAATGCCTCAAAGCCACAATCCCATTATACAATCATAAAAGTGATGGTCCCTGCCCAGAGAGTTTACAATCCAAGCAGAAGACTAGAAACAAACAGCTGGAGACAGACGGGGGAGCACAAAGCCACAAGATGATTAGAACAGTATAAGCACTGATCATAGCCAACCAGCCACCTAGCCAATCACAATCAATAGAAGAGTCTCTTCAGTTTCATGCTAGATCTACTGCTTTTGAAGCAGACCACCTGTTCTATAATGTCTCTCTGGGGGTGGGGAGAGCATAGGGTCAAGGTGTTAAAAATCTCTCTACTAGCTGCTAAGTGGTGTTTAAAAACATGTTAAAATGGGTTAGCTAACATGTTTTAAAACACCACCTTTCCCCCTAGTCTAGATCGGGCCTAAATGACTGACATCCTCTGGACATATCACTGGCAATAGCTATTCATCTTCCCCTTCCCTCCACTCTCCTCTCGATTAAAAAGTCCACCATACGCCCCCTCATGGTGCCAGCATAACCCCATACTGCAGACTGAGCCTACACCAAAAACAGGGGTTTCTCCATCCCTGTAGGAACTCCACCTCCTCCAGTGACATTGGCTATGTCAACAAACATTTTTTCATTCACCTAGCTGCGTTTACACTGGGGACTAGGTTGGCAAAGCTATGGGTCTCAGGGGTGAGGATTTTTCACACCCCTGAGTGCTGTAGCTATGTCAACCTAAATTATAAGTAGACCAGGCCTGACTCCCTTCACTGGTTTCCTCTCCCCTTTGATATCAGATACAAGCTTTTAATTCTTACTTTTAAAGCTGTGCACAACCCAATCTATATTTACATTGCTGCTCTTATTTTCTCCTACCCTTCACCTGCTGTCAGTGCTCCTCTCAAGCCTCCTTCCCAAATGCCCCTTGTATTGTCTCTTGCTCTTGCCTTCACACTTGATTTCACTTCAGAACTCCTTCCTCTACCTGTTTGCCAAACAATCTCTCAGCATTCAATCTCACTGAAAACAGAGGCGTTTCAGAACTTCATTTAAATAAAGCATTGCAGCCTTGATCTTTAACCTATATTATATCCCACATACAACACTTGGACAAAGTTACGGTTGCTAATGTACTATCAACAGAGCCATCTAGAGTGCACACACCTCTCACAACTCAGTCTTAAAGTTAAGGTATCTTTGCTGACAGAATGTAAAAGCATATCTAAATACGTTACATGAATTCTTCCCAAACTGAAGTAAAAGTTAAGGTTAAGGTTAAGGTTGTGTTTTGAGTATGGCTATTAGGAATTATAGTGTGTGTTGTGGGCAGCTGTATGTAAAACGGAGGCCAGGAACATCTGGATATTATGGTATAGGTGGTAAGATGCAAATTGGTTTAGATATCAATACTGATGTAACTGGTGATTTTCTTGATTCTACGTGACTGCACTGACAAGCAACCATATAACTTCAACAACCATAACTATGTTAAAAATTTCCAGGACTATTAGCAAAAGTTAAAATGCAACTGTGATATAACAATATATGCTCTGATAAGGCCTTTGAAAGTCCACCATAGTAAAGCAGCCAATCTCTGCAGGGCTCTCTCCTGAAGACTTTGTGGTGATCGGTAGGTGGGTCTGTGCTTTTATCCATGTTGAAAGTGTACCAATGTGTGCCGAGTTTAACATGAATAAATAATACACCCCTTGTCACTCTTATGTTTGTCTCCTTTCACGTAGCCAATGTTCTCTGTAACCCTCCAACCTCTTCCGAACACATGTCCAGTACAGTTTTCTTCATGCTCCAGGTCTTCTACATCTCTTCCCTCCATGACCTGTGTCCTGAAATATGTTTTCGTGCACCAGGCCCATAGTACACTCATCCTAAAGTACTCAGACATACTCCCTGAACCCAATTCAAATCTCCCGGTCTATACCCCCTCTGCTGTCTTTGAACTTGTACAACTTAATTTTGTAGATGTTTACAAGTTCAATAGGGAGCAGAAAGCATACACTGGGAAGGCAATATGGGTTGAGAGAGGTTATGGAAGCAGACTTTAGTGGACTGGTTATGTAATAGAAGAGAGTTTGGGTAGTGGGGGAGGACAACCGGGCTGGATAGTGAAGAGTAGCAGGGTATCACTGTCCACTTCTCTCCCATTGTCCTGCCTGCCTCCTTGGCTCCTCAAAGAGTGGCTGGCAGGGGTTCTGTAAGTGCTTCTATTACTCCAAGCTTCCTGTAGGCCTGCTAAGATTTTTTTAATTTGCAGGTATGGTTGTTGCACCAGGCCTCTTTGGAGAAGCTGCCTCCTAGCAGAGCTACAAAATCCACTTGTTTGATTTGTTTTACAAATGTGCCCATAGGTCCCAATCAGGATCAGAACCCCACTGTGTTAAGAACTGTATAAACATGTAATGGCCCAGGTCTGCACTACAAAGTTTTGCCAGTGTAGCTATGTCAGTAAGCTGTGTGGTTAAAAAAAAAAATCATGCCCCTAACAGACAGACAGCTTGTCAGCCAAAACATCGCTATAGACGCAGCTTATATTGGCAAAACAGTCATTATGCCAGTATATGCTGTGTCTTCAGAAGGTGGATTTGCTGGTTTAGCTATATTGGCAAAGCCATTGTATGACAGACTAGCCCAATCTAAAACAACTGACACGAGAGGTGAGTGAATCAAATTATACAATTTTCAATTTTAAAAAGTCACAAAAGTTGAAACGGTTGCAAGCAATACCTGTCTACTCCTTAAGCTAACCATCATGAACTGGTTGATTTGTTACAGGCATTATGGCAGAGTAGTCAAAGGATTTCAAGAAAGGCCTTTATTATTGATAAAAGATTCACATTATATAGTGCATAAATTAGCTGAAGTCCAAAGTAACGTTTTAGGGCACCAAAAGACAGACATGACACTAGAGGAGAGATTTTTAGCATGCTATGATTATGGAAGTGAAACGAGGGGATGTTTAAATGTGAAAGTTATCTTGAAAATACATGCTTGCCTCCTTTATTTAAATAGTGTAACTTGGGTAATTATTAGTGAGTTTCATTTAAATTCTAATTTAAGGTTATATTCTTAACTATGGAGTCATGAGGGAACCTCCAAAACATGTGTATGTTACAGTGTCTTTGAGGAAAGGATTCTCTCGCCATTGTCAGCAATGAGCACGTTATTGTCATTTAATACACATTTTGGTTACCTCAGCTTCAGAGTCCTTCAGTTTCTGAACTTTTTCTTTGACCTTCATTTCAAAGACCTGCTCCATTTCCATCTCCATTTTTTTCATTTTGGCCACATGCTCTCTTCTCTCTTCTTCCATCTGTGCCAGAGGGCTCCTGCCATAAACCCAGAGCAGGTTAACCAATAAGGAAGTGATCTTTTTTGCAATACAAGATGACATTGAAAGGCAAGGCAAACAAAAAACAAGACATTAAATGGAACAATGCGTCTGCATGTGCCTCCATCTTAAGTTAAATGTTCTTAATTTCAGAAGACTGCATATGTTCGATCAAACCAATGTTAAACTATGAAAAGAGACATATGATTTATTTCATAGTTTAAACATCTTACATTTTTTAATATTTAAATTTAGGTTAAATATAATGCAGTCATATGTTGAGAATTCTTTACTTACTACCTTTAATAGAACCGCTAGGGCAGTGGTTCTAAACCTGTGCCCCGAGGGCTGCTTCTGGCCCAATCAGCACAGAGCTGCGGCCCATGTGACATCTTCAGGGCAAAAGAGGTAGTATTGGATGCGGCCCACAGTGGTAAATAGGTTGAGAACCACTGCGCTAGGGGAAAGTCAAATCAGGAAAAATTCAGTAATGAAAACTCAAAAATAAAAGTGGCATCTTCCTAGTGATCTTCCAACGCTACAGCCCCTCCAATCACCAAAATACTTGTGCACACAAAAATGGAAAGATAGCCTTAAACTAGAACAGAGCAAGAGAAAAAGAAAGTGTTGCAGGTAGAGAGAAACTGATTTTTAAATCTTAATTTCTAAGGGAATTATCAAATAAATGTAAGTTCATAATTTCAGCGTTGTGTTAAATACAATCTTTTCCTGTGCTTGATTCTTTTGAACGCACAGTAATTTTGAGAGGTTTTGAGCAGTTGGACTTCAGATTTATTTGTGGAAGTGTTATTAGCATGGAATATTTTGCTTTGTAAAATGTTCCTAATTCAAATACATGTTTTTAATTTTTTCCAGACACTTTCAGGCAACTGATTTACTAATCTTGCTACTCAGTTTAAAATAGCATTTTAGAAATGTTATAGTCTTCAATGTTCTGTAAAATCCAGCATAGATTCATTATATATTTCACTCTTTCTGGCTAATGGTTAGATAATGTATACACTCAGCCCCTTGTAAGAGTAATTTTTTGGTACTGAAACATTAAGAACAGCCGGAACAAATTAATTTCAGCCTGAACATGTATGTTTTTCAAAAACATTTGAAAAAAATGAGCTCTAGCAAGCATATGGATGTAATAATATAATAAATATATATATATATATATACACACATCTGTTTGTGTTATCACTCTCTTGGATATTTACATACACACACACAAAACAAAAATGATAAATGAGCAGGGAATGTTTATCCATCTAAGATGGTCCAACCTTCATCTACGAAAGCTAACTGTATTTGGAGTTGCTAGGTGTGATTACATCAAAAATAAAGTATTTGCTTTTTGTGCAAGAATGTGTTTTATGCTTTCAGAATTCTCCTAAAAATATCTGAGGTAGAGTAAAGCATTTCTAATATGCAGTGCCCCTTTCATTCAAAACTTGCAACTCATTCTTTTAGGAGAGGGAAATAGGGTTCAAAATGTGTAGTCAGTGCAATGGAGAGTGTGTCAAACATGTCTGAATTGTTTTGACTATTCATAGCTCATTTTTTACGTATAACTCAGCTATATGAGATTGCCACTAATGAAGTGAAAATGAAATGTATCCTATGAAATCAAGGCCAACTGAACAGTTTTTAAATTCCAGCATTTTCAAATATGTGCTTCAGAAGGTGACAATTTTAGGTATTTTTGAGATGTATCTGAACTGCTTTGCAAAATTTAGAGCAGCAGACCAAATGTTAGCAGCATACTAGATTTCAAATGGAAACTGATCCTACTCCAAATTCAGGATTTACTTTTACTGTACAAAGGTTGATTGTTAGCATCTGTACCTTTTGTTGATGAAAATAGCATATAACTTGGAGTGCTGTTTGATTACAAGCCCAGTACCATAATACATAAAACCAATTCATGAGAGGAGTGTGCAACATCAGTTGTAATGTTTTAGTGAATTTGAGTAGTAGTGTTTCTGTGTAAACAAACACATTGTCAAAACATTACAAAATCTAGCTTCCTGAAGATATTAACATACCTTTCTTTGAGAGACATGTAAAGTTTTAAAGTTTCTATTCTATGTAAAGAACCATGGACCTAGGGGCCTCAGTCCTACTGCCACTTAAGTCACTGCCAAGACCCCCATTGACTTCAAATGGGAACAGAACTGGCTACCTAATGACACCAGAACCTAAGAATTGGGTAGGTATGTCTTCCAAGCCATATTTTCAAGAAAATTGTTCAGATTTCCCCAAAAATGTCAAGTCTTAGCCTCCATGGAGAGTTCAGTAAGCTAGCAGGCCAATATCTACTGTGGAGTTCTTTACGAGTGGATCAGTACACGGTTCTCATTCTGATAAGCAATATCTACAGAAATCAATGGGGTTTAAGCACAAAGGAAAAGGGAAGTCCAATAAAGCATCAGGAACACTCCCACCCTCCCCATAAAAAATAATATACATGTGTAATATTAACTCTTTAAGGTTTAGAGAAAGCTTATGTTATTCTATGTATACACAAAGTGGAACCTCTGCAAGCCATTTGTATGATAAAACCATAGTCAAATGAATTTGACTGAACTAACAAGTTTGCCAGTTTAACCCCTCCTTAAACAGCTGGAAATTTAGAGATGTGGAATTTTCATTACTTAAATTCTCAATAAGCACTAATATAACTATTACTCTGGAACTAACGAGAGACTGCAGAGCCAATCTGGGTGAATTACATAATTTACATACATCTTCAACCACTATAGTGCTCTTCCAGTCTTTGTTATTCTCATGCAATTTGACCGAAATCTTTCAAAAATAAGATGGAGTGTTCTATGAAGAATATTTGTCACTGAAGATATTTATAACTTTTAATCTAAAATGTTAGAGCAGTTTTAGAACAAAAAGCACTAAAGTAAAAACAGATGCAGAAGCTGAATAACAGGAAAACTTAAATTTTTTAACACTTAACATTAAAGGTCTTATGTGTTTAAAGAGCTTTTGTCTGAAGTCTTTGGAAAAATTTAAATAACCACTTACATGCCTTCAACTGTGTCAAATCTAAAAAACAAAAAATACAGAGGCTTAGCATGCTTAAATAAAACCACAAAAACTAAAAAGCAGTAATTAAAAAAGCAAATTCATTATAGATTCCTAAAGCTAATTAAAATTTGTTTTTTTTTCCCCCCAAAAGCAAATTTTCCACAGTAAAATGAAAGATTGTTAGTTAAAGCTGGTTATGTTTATTTCAAAATTCAGTTAGTTAATCACTACACCATGTAAATATTAATGCAGATTTGATGTGCAGAGATATTTCAAAGACAGTTTACCTACAGTGGTGTGACTAAAGTACGCATGCTTTTAAAGTGATTTTACATATTTTAGTGACCTTAACTTAACTACTTGCTCTAAGTAAGCTTTCTGAAACCAAAGTAATCCATCTCTAGGCTTATTTGCCTTATAAAATTTGTCACCTAATGAAGGTCATTATATTAAAAGTGAATGATGGATGTTATATTTAAAGAGAAAGACTGTTCAGGTGCTATAGAAACAGCACTTAACTTTACTGGCCAGCAGAGGTCTCACAGGAGGCTATACTCAACAGCACTAAAAAGCATACAATGTAATTAAGTTTACATGGAGTATGGTATCTTAATTTGAGCTTGTTGTGTTAGTATCTCACTGACAATAGTAAAATCAGAAGAAAAGATCAGGTTTCAGCCTTCAGGAACTGGTATTTTTACATTAAATAATTTGCAACACAGTATGAAGCCATTCATATTATTAGGACTGCTCCCTAGAATTTCCTGTCCTGTCTATAGGAAGCGTAGAATCTTGGGTTTGTGGCAAGGTTATAAACATCTTAGGAACACAGTCAAAAGGAGTTAGAAGCAGTCTATGCTAAGAAGCAGTTAAAAGGATCTACACATTGCGTATTTTGTTACTCTGTGTGACAGTTTATTGAACATATCTGTAGCCAGATAAGGCTTATCTTTATGTCATTTATACAAATATATACCTTTTGATAATAAAAAGATGGTTTATTTTTAATCTCACTGAAAATGTCTATTTCACATCAAAAAGTGAATATAGGACTTCTCAAATTAAGCATTTTTGGTTTCAAGTGCCAATTTTTGTATATGCCACACAGTGCACGTGTACAGTTACACTTATTTGCATAGTGTGAAGAGACAAGTTATCCATATACCTGAAGGTTACCCTTTGACATAATATTTTTTAGAGATGGGATGATGTTGAAAATGTGAAGGAATCAGACACTAAACCTAAAATACAAAAAGGCTACGTAATCATGGAAAAAACATGCTTTGGATTTCTCTTAAGCTAATGTGTTATTTGTAGAACAGCTGATTAGAATATCTGCTAAGCAAGGGAGGAATTCAAGGCAGTCATTACAAGGCCAGAAAAATTGTTTTGTTTTGGTGCATTTGGACAATACAGAATATATCTTGTAGCACATATTACTAATTCTGTTTTCATAGTCAATCACTGAGGTTTGTTCAAAGAAATGAGCTAACAATTTACTCAAGGAACAGAGCTGCAAAGGCTAATATGTTTACATTACCACCAGGAGCAGAGAGAGAGTGTGTGTGTGTGTAAGTAATACTTTCTCACAAGGAACTGCGTAGCCACAATAAACTCAACATTTAATACAAAATATTACAAAATACAGCTGTCAAAAATGATCCATAAGTACTTTTGATAGAGAGAGTGCTCCATTGAGGTCAGTAAATCTCTGATTAATCACTAGCAAGGTGAATGCAAGGTTTCTGAAGTTTTATGAATGGGCTCACCCACTTCACGTGCTCCCCTAACAGCCACAAAAATTCTGAAATAAGTCAGAACCACAAACTCGATCTGCCAGAGGTGTCAGACACTTTGCAGAAAGAAGGGACTGCTTTTGTCTGTCACAGCACAAGAAAAATGGCTCAAGCATTGCCTCAGATGGTTTTGTCTGTGTCAGCCCCAGAAATCACATCAGCCACAGAGAGTAGAAGTTTCTTAGTGAGAGCAAAAATAAGCCTAAGACTCCAGAGGGGAGGCACAAATGAAACGTATTTGTTTTCTTTTCCTTCTTTCTATGAAAGAATACACATGGCAGCCAGATGTGGCTACAGAGATCATCTTCCTATACGTTGCTCTAAACCTGGCAGGAATCAAAACTGGAAAAGCACAGTAAGGCAGCTCTGGAGTGGGAGAATGTGGGTGGTGACCAGTTATCCTGCCTGTTAGAATGAGCAAGGAATCCAATGTCTGCACTGTCAGAGTCAAACAGGAGTTATGCTGTAAAACCCAAGTAGCTCCAGAAAGTTATCATCTGCATTAAAAAGCTGTGTTGCATTAATTACATTCTTTTCAAATCAATCCCTTGGAATGTATGGTTACTGTTCTAACCTACAAACAAATTTATACATCTTGTACTCTTACTGATAACTGTACATAATTCTAAAAGTGCCCCAAAATAAAGGAAAATACTCTATTAAAACTGTTACTGAAGTGTACTGTTTCATGAAAACTATATAATTTGACTCCATTCTCTTTGCTCTTCTTTTCCTTTAATAAAAAGTTATTGGATACAAATATAGACCCTTAAAGATTGTCAGTGTTTCAATTTGTGACAATACTTATAAAACAGATGCTGTGGCTCAAAAGTTCTTATGGATGAAGCAACTGTTTGGTGAGAACAGTGACAGCCCATTTTTAATTAATATAAAAATCTGAAATGTTTCTATTTTTCAAAAAAGGGCAAGGTAAGAATTTACAATAGGAGCAAACAATCTGAAGCAAAGTAGTGGTGTGTGTGTACTTATAAGATACTGGAGAGGTAGAAGGCAAAATGACAGTAAGCAAACCCAGTTTTCTCTATTTGAAAAGGAGGCAGGAATCTGAGTGAGACTAAAAATTAATAAGGAAGGAACTGGGATGCTGAAAGGTTATGGGCCTCTGGTCTAGGATCTGAAGTTCTTTCAAAATCTGCAAGAAAATCTTTTTGCTTGTCTGCAAGGACTAAATCAGGTATTTGTAGATAACAGTAGCTCCACGATGAATGAAACTGAGGGCTCAAGCTGCCAACTAACATATAAATTTACTCTTTATTTACCTCAGCTACACAGTAATGAAGTGCTATGATTCTTAATAGGATCCTAAACTGATGAGATTTGCCACAGAGAAAAAAGTGTTCAGAAGGGCATCTTTGACTTTATTAAATACATCCAGCTCAAAAGGCCAAACCAGGGACTGTAGTAAAGTGACTGGGGTGGTTTTGGTGGCAGGAGGTAAAATAATGAGCCATGCTTCTGCAAGAGAAGACCACATCAGTACTAATCGAGACATTTATGAGAACTCAAAGCATAGGCAACACCTGCTCTGAATAGAAAGGTCTTAGTGATAAATAAGGCTACGTTTTAGTCACGGGTATTTTTTAGTAAAAGTCATGGACAGGTCATGGGCAGTAAACAGAAAATGCACAGCCAGTGACCAGCATATACCTATATACCCCTGACTAAAACTTGGGTGCTATGGGAGGGCGGGGGCACCTGGGACCCCTGCTGCTGCTGAGGGTGAGGGGGCAGCTGGCAGGCTCCTTACCTGGCTTTCTGTGGCTCCCAGAAGCAGCTGGCATGTCCCCCCGAGGCAAGTACTGCCCAGAGCCCTAACCCCATCCCATACTCCAATGCCCTGCCTCAGCCCCCTCCCACACTCAAACTCCTGCTGCTGCTGGGGGGAGGGAGGCGGGACATGGTGGCCTGAGACTGCCGCTGGCCCAGGGGCTGCCCGAGCTTCTTAGGCGGCCCGCGGGCCAGCCGCACCTGCCACTGCAGAAGTCACAGAGGTCCCGGAAAGTCACGGAATCCGCAACAGACTCGCAGCCTTAGTGATAAATGATAAGTGCAGCAAATGTAACATTGGTTTTGGAACCTCTGAATACTGTACACAGAATCTGTAGCAAGCAGCACACAAAACAGTTTTCAATATTAAGAACAAAGAATGCAATTGTATATTGCATTTTAAGGATTTACAGTGTTCGGACTACATAACATATGGAGAGAGTTTGGGTTTGGGGGCACAGACAAGTAGAAATCTGCTGACGAGGGACAAAATTGAAGTAAGGGTAAAGGTGTGAGATCAACAAAAAGTAAAACTTTGGAAGTCAAAGCACATGCAGTGTTTTCCCCTTACTTGACCCTTATTGTAAAAGCAATGGTATTAACTCCAAAATTATGTCACAAAGTAAGTGTGATCAGTTTCTTTTGTTTTTGTTCCAACTTTACATGTCTTGAAGATTCCAAGTTGACATGACATCCACAATTTAATGAGCTTTATAAATCCCATGGAGAAGGCAGAACTTATCAGTCCAGGATACTATTACCACTTCAAAGAGAAAGCACCCTCAAGTTTTTTACACTTAACTGTATTCTTTTCTCCTCTCACCCCTACATGCCCAATTCAAACATCAAATCAAACTTTTACATTTCTCCCTTCCTCCCCAGTTCTCTTCATAATCACTCTACCCCATGAAGTATTTTCTCAATAAAATTACCAAAGAGTTGATCTGAGGGATGAGAAGAGGTATTATCGCACTCTTGCCCTCTCAATCAACCATGCTATGCTATTTGTTGGCAATGCAGAGAAACTTTAAAAATAAATTTTAAATCTCTCTGTGAGCACTCAAGAGCCTCAAAGGATGTGGAGCAGGATATTGTGCAAGGTGAGAAACTCTGTCGTGTGTGTAACAACGTGACTAGTCAAAGAACAGATGCTGTTCTACTTTGGACTTCTCTTCACTCCAAAATTTTACTGTGTTTGAACTTGGTTGTGAAAAGCTGATTTAGTGACATGATTCTATTATGTGGCAGTCAGTATAGCAGGGGGCACATGTTTAGCATCGTGCCAGCTAACTCATTCCTTCAGAACCATATTCAAACAGTAAAAAATTTTTAGTGTGGACAAGCCCTTAGTGTGAAATGGCCATCAGACTGCGACCTGCCCCTGCCAGAGATCAGGGATACCCCTCGCTGAAAAACAGCTGTACAATTGTGAGGCAGTCACTGTATAGGACCCCTACACTCTGATACTATATTGGAATGATATTCTCAGTCAATCAAAGAAGTATACCATTCATGACTAACTTGCCTCAAGAATAATAATAAAAAAAAACAAACTTGAAATAATTTGACACTAGCTCCCTTAGACACACATTATGTCTTCACTATTACATAGATGAATATACAAAATTTTAAAATGTGTACTGATATCTAACAATTCTTGAAAATAGCTAACTTATTTGTTATATAAACAGAATAGGAAGAATAAATAGAATTTATATTTTATGTTTCCATAATTTAAAATTAACTAGAATGGCATGCAAAGTACTACCATGAAAGGGACCAAAGTTTTTAGTTCTTTGTTCCTGCACCAGTTGGGGTTAAACTACTGCACTAGCAGCTTCCCTCTCACAAAGGCCTGGAGATGGAAAGACTGCTATGTGTTACTAACAAGTTTTCTATCGTGATGAGAGGCTTTGAAAAATACTGAGCAGAATCCATTGAAGATGGGGAAGAGAATGTGTGATTTTATTCTTAGTTATTAAGCACAAAGATAAGGTGAATCCACTCTTCCTCAAAAACAAAGTATTGAGCACCAACAGCAAGAGAAAGCACAGAAGCCAAACACAATTTGGGCCCAGAAATAGAAACCTTGATGTCCAAAACCTCTCAAATGATGAATATGCTTTAAAGATTCACAATGAACATTAAACTTCTTGCTTGTTTACACACAGCAGTTGTATAGGTTAGGTCGACTAAATAATTTTAGTGCTCTATTGTGTTTCGATGAGGCCTTCATAACTTGAGGTAACTGACTGAAATTAAGGAGAAAATATAGAATGGTGACATCAAATGTTGTTACAAACTTAACACTTACTTAGTTAGCTGCCCTTTGTTTTTGTTGTTGTCAACTCCATTGTACGTAACAGCTGCCAATTTTCTGCTCCTGTAGTTCTCATAGTGTACGTTGTTAGTGACATCCTTCAGGTCCTGCATGTGAGTTCTGTCAACAGAAGTACAGGCTATCAGCAGAGTTCATTCTTCATGAATATCAAACATGATCTGAAAATCAGATTAGATGACCTTCATTTTGCAGACTTAATAATCCCATCAAATTTATTCTGTCCTATCGAAACAATGAGGATTTGAGAACCAATTTTTTTTCTTTTAAATATTCTTGTTCATGGGAGCACCAATATATAAGCCTACTGTTAAATTCTACATAACTTATTCAAAGTGCTAATCAGTAAGGACAACAGAAAATTGCAGGAGGGTCTCCTTTTTTATGAGGCCTCATACTACTTTCCTATTACAAGCATTTATGCCTTCATTTCAAACTTAAAGAATGATGGTAGGGTCACAGAAAGGGCAGCATATTTTGCACAGAATAGCATTTCAAAATTGAGAGCTTACTCACCTTATAAAGTTACTGGAGTCCTTCGAAATGTGTCACCTGATGGGTGCTCCAGTTCCGGTGTGCCTGTGCCTTTGAATATAGATTTTTGGTAGCAGTGTCCATTTGGCCCGCACATTCTTCGTGCCCCGCATTGAGGCTAAAGTCCCACAACAGAGACTCCGAAGCAGAGGGGAAGGATGATGCATAGTGGAGCACCAGCAGAGAGACACATCTCAAAGAACTCCAGTTATTGCACAAGGTGAGTAACCTCTCCTTCTTCGAGTAGTGTCCCTGTGGGTGCTCCACTTCAGATGACTCCCAAGCAGTACCCCGCAAAGGGGGCAGGAGGTTCGGCGCAGAGTCCAACACAGAAGAGAGAACTACACTACCCCTAGCACATCTGATTTCGTGGCAGGCACCAAGGCATAATAATCATTAGAAAAGGTAGGCACTGAGGACCACTGCTCTACAGATGTCTGCAACTGATAATATCCCTAAACCAAGCTACAGGAGTAGAAAGTGCTCTAGTGCAGTGGCTCTCAACCTTGCCAGACTACTGTACCCCTTTCAGGAGCCTGATTTGTCTTACATACCCCCAACTTACCCCTCACTTAAAAAATACTTGCTTACAAAATCAGACACAAATACAAAAAAGTATCACAGCACACTATTACTGAAAAACTGCTTACTTTCTCATCTTTACCATATAATTATAAAATAAATCAATTGGAATATAAATATTGTACTTACATTTTAGTGTATAGTATATAGAGCAGTATAAACAAGTCATTGCCTGTATGAAATTTTAGTTTGTACTGACTTCACTAGTGCTGCCCGATGTAAATAAAACTAGGCAAATATCTAGATGAGTGGATATACTCTCTGGAAGACCTCTGTGTACCCCCTGGGGTACGCGTACCCTGGTTGAGAACCACTGCTCTAGTGGAACGTGCTATCACTCGTGAAGTGTGTTGAAGCAGAGTTCATTCATAACAGATTTTAAAACAGCCAGAGATCCACATTGATAACCTCTGTTTCAAAATAACCGAACTCTTGTTTCTGTCCACAATGGATACAAATAGTCTAGGAGAGCTTCTAAAAGGTTTGGTCCTATCCAAGTTAAAGGCTAATACTTTCCTGACATCCAGGGTATGGAACATGGCTTCTTGACTAGTTGAATGTAATTTTGGGAAAAAACAGGAGATGTATGGTTTAATATAGAAGTCTGAGGACACCTTAGGTAAAGATCTGGGATGAGCCCACTCCATTGTAAATGAAGAGGGGGTCCACCAATAAAGCCCCCATTTCTCTAACCCTTGGGACAGAAGTTATAGCTTCCAAGAAGGCTGTCTTCATGAACAGAACTAACAAAGAGGTAGCTAATGACTCAAAGGGATGCTTCATAAGGCAATTAAGGCCTAGGTTCAGTTCCCAGCTAGGAGAAGATTCTCTGATTTGTGGGTAGAGATTCAACAAGGAATCTTGCTGTGGCTGAGTGAGCTATGAGTGAAAAACTCCCTATATGCTATTATTGCTGCGAAGTGTACCCACATGGAGCTCACAGAAAGACTCAATGTTTTCAGTTCCAACAGGTAATCCAAACTCAGAGAGAACAAATAGGTGAAATCGGATGACTGCTACACGAACGAATACAGCTTCCATTTCTAAAGGTAAATATTTCTTGTAGATTCTTTTCTACTGTTTAATAAAATGTGTTGTACTGCTGATGAACAGGATACCTCTATTCCTGAGAACCATCGAGGAACTATGCTTGGAGCCTCAGAATCTGCAGGCTGGGGTGAAGTGTTTGACCAGCATCTTGAGTCAGGAGATGACACAGAAGGCGAGAGGTGAGTCTGATTAGGTAGGGGCACCAAACTTGTCTTGGCCACATTGGCAAAGGTCCTGGCCCGATCTTGTTGAGGACGTTTAACAATAGCAGTGTTGCTGGATACACATAGAGGAGGCCCTTCTTCCATGAAATGAGAAAGCATCTCCTAGGGACTGGGGATTGAGACACCCTCTGGAACAATACAAGATGCATTTTGTGTTGCCTGCTGTGGCAAACAGATCTACCTACATGAACCCCCAGACTAGGAATATCACATGGAGGACTTGGGAGTTTAGTTCTTATTCATGAGAGAAATATCTTCTGAGGTCATCTGCCATAGTGTTCTGAATACCTGGAACCTATGAAACTTAGATGACTATCTGGTTGGCTATATGCACCAATTCCAGAGTTTTAACACTTCAGCACAGAAAGATGGGGAACATGCTCCTCTTTGACGGTTGATGTAATGCATGCATGCCATGTTGTCTGTCATTATCTTTATTGACTAGCAGTAGAAAGTGTAAGCAAACGTATTTGACTAATCAATTCCAGAAGACTGATATAAAAAAAAGACACTCTTGTAGAGACCCTTTGTCCTGAACCTTGTGAGGACAGAGACGTGCCCACTCAAAAAGTGAACCGTCTGATGTTATGACTGTGGTAGAGCAATTCTGGAAGAATGTATCACCTCATGTTTTGGTTGTGTCTTTCCAAAAGTCGGGGAACAGACAGTAATGTGCCTAGACTGTGCTTTCTTGGTTTGTAAACCTTTCGCAGCCATCCTTTTAGACCTCTGAGATGTAGTTTGGCGTATTGCATTACGAAGACACAAGCTGACAGCGGGATCCTGGGGCACCTTCCCCAGAGCATCCCCAGCCACCCGCCCAAGTTTTAGTCACAGGTATTTTTAGTAAAAGTCATGGACAGGTCACAGGCCGTGAATTTTTGTTTACTGCCCGTGACCTGTCCATGACTTTTACTAAAAATACCCATGACTAAAACATAGCCTTATTGATTATAAATCAAAGAAACCTCTTCTGTGAATGATGAATAGCAATATGGGAAGCATGTGTCTTGTAGGCTGAGAGTTGCAAACCAAACTTCTAAATCTAATGAGGGAATTATAGCTGCAAGGATCACCATCCTGAATTTCTGCTGTTTTACATATCTGTTAATAGACCAGAGGTCTAAAAATTGGTCTCTATTCTTCTTGGGAATCAGGAAGTACTTGAAATAGAATTCTATTGCTCCTATGTGTAGAAGTGAGCCAACCTCTTGTGCCAGCAATTAATTGTGAGAAGTGTCCCTGAAAAAGGACAGGGAGGAGGAATAAGTGGGAGGGATAGATACGAAATGGATAGTGTAATCAGATATCATGGCTTTCAAAACCTACTCGTCCGATGTTGTGCTCTCCCATGTAGTCTAAAAGTAGAAGAAGTGACATCTAAAAGGAGTGAGGGGGGTAGTATGTTGCAGCTGTAAAACCCTTGTTGACTGGGTGGTTGAGACTCTTGACCTACCCTTCAAAACTGTTTGGGGGATGCTGATGGTTGGGAAGACATGGCTGTAACTCAAGACGGTTTCTTTTTAGAGGACCTTGGCCTCTTGGACCAGGGCTTAAATGGGCTACAGTAAGTTGAATACAGGGCTGGGCATGCTTTTTGTGCCATCTGAGACTTAGTAAGTCTCCTCTTATTTACAGTATAAATCCCTAAGGATCACAGTGTGGCTCGAGACTTTTAATGTGTGAAGAGGTGTATCTGTCAAGTCTGCAAAGAGCTTGTAAGCATCAAAGGGAAGGTCTTCAACGGTGCTTTCAACTTCTCTTCGGAAGCCAGATAAATGCAGCCAGGATGTTCTCCAGTTTTGCAGTGATATCTATCATGCTGCTGTATCTGCAGCATCCAAGGAGGCCTAGAGAAACGTTTTTGCCAGAAGTTGACTCTCTTGTATAACCACTTTAAATTGGTCACAATATTCCTCTGGTTGGTGGTCAAAGGACTTACATTTGTCATAGTTCAGATAAGATTATTTGGCCATGGGCACCTCATGGTTTGCTATTCGGAATTGAAGAGTAAGATTTGTGATCAAAAAGATGATGCTTCTTATGGTTCTTACTGTTTGGGGTGGTCTTTGAGCTATGCGGTCTACCCTCTTCATTAATGGCCTCCACCACCAGGGAACTCGGAGCTGGGTGAGAAAAACAGAAACTCTGATTCTCTGGCAGGGATGTAATACTTTCTATCCACCTTCTTGCATGTAAGTAGTGTGGTTGCTGGGGATTGCTAAACAGTCTTAGTGGGCTCCATAAGAGCTTCATTGTCTGGAACAGCAATCTTCATCAGTGTCAAAAGTGTGTAATACATCTAGGAGTTTATGATGGGATTCCTGAACTTCCTCTAAGGCAGGAGTGGGGAACCTTTTTTCTATCAGGGGCTATTGACCCACAGAAAAAAAATCAGTCAGAGGCCAGACACAGCCCCATGGGGGAGCGTGAAGGCTCAGGGCTTCCCCCCGCAGTGGGGCGAGCCAGTGCTCACAGCTCCAGCCCTGTGGGGGTGGGGGCTTTGGGCTTCCCCTAGGTTCTGGGGTGGGGCCAGAAATGAGGGGTTCAGGCTGCAGGAGGGGGCTCTGGGCTGGGACAGAAGTTTGGGGATCCAGCTGCGGGTGCAGGCTCTAGGGGATTAAGGGTTTGGGGTGCAGAAGGGGGCTCCGGACTGGGGCTGAGGGGTTTGGGGTGAAGAAGGGGGCTAAGGGCTTGGGCAGGGGATTGAGGTGTGGGACAGGGGTTCCAGCTGGGGGTATGGGCTCTAGGGTAGGGATGGGGATGAGGGGGTTCGGGGTGCAGGAGGAGGTTTGGGATGTGGGCTCCGGCTGGGCAGCACTTATACCTCAGGCAGCTCCTGGTTGGCAGTGCAGTGGGGATAAGGCAGGCTCCCTGCCTGCCTGCCCTAGCTCTGTGCTGCTCTGCTACTGGAAGCGGCCGGCATGTCTGTCCCCTAGACGGAGGGGCCAGGTGGCTCTGCATGGTACACACTGCCTGCAGGTGCCAGCTCTGCAGCTCCCATTGGCCGCGGTTCCCGGCCAATGGGAGCTGCGGAGCTGGCACCGTGGGGCAGCACCCAAAGCTTCCATGATCGCCCCTCCGCCTAGGGGCCACAGAGACAGGCAGCTGAGAAGGAACTTAGCCACACAACCCCATATAGCCTCTATGGGGAGCACGGGGATGTGTGGGGCACACGTGCAGGCCGAACAGACACTTCTATCAAAAATCTCCGATCAAAGGCACTGGCACACCTAAAGTGGAGCACCCACAGGAACACTACTCCAAGAACTGCAGCATTCCAAACATTAAGGTTATAAGTTTTACAAAAATAATATATTTTGTAGGTGAACTTGTAAATGAAGAGGACCCATATAAAATATAGCTCTATAGTCTTGTAATAATGCTACATTAGATCCATCTAAACATTTGTCAGGCAACACGTTAGAGTTCCAAGCACAAACTTGACTTGAGTTTCCACATTTCAGGCTTAGAAGTAGTACTTATGTCTCCAAGATAAAGGTCAAGTATCAACTATCCACAATATCCATTCAGCAGCTCAAAGAAAATCCTCTGGAGTGAAGCTCAACTGCCAAACAGCCATTGTTATAAGAGATTGGGAAATAAATCTAAAATTACCCATGATAAAAAAAGCAGAGAGACTCAATCACCTTTTAACACAGGGAATACATCAAATCCAACTGTCAGGAGGAGAAAAAAAGATATACTTTTTTTAATTGTTCCTTGTCATATTGCATGACTAAAGGTTTTACTTTGGAACACAGGACTAATATGTTAAAAAGCAATCAGTTTATTCCATAAGTACTCTCTGCAGTAAGACAGTGTAGAAGTGTTAAGCAATTCTCAAAACTCTTCTTCAAGTCTAACTTACTATGGTTCAAAGTCTGCCCTCACATACATCCACAATTTCTAGTAACTTGAACAGGAGTTGCATATTTTGAGTCACATGTGCAAAACTTAGACATTGTACTTTAATTGAAAAAAAAAAAAAACAACTGAAAAGCAATAGAAAAGTTCGCTTTTAATCCAAATTTTCCTTATTGCCATTCTTTCCCCACAGTTTTGTTACAGTTTAGCAAACTTTTAAAAAGTTGAAAGGTATTATGTACTAAGAGGGCTTCTATTTTGTCCCTCTGCATTTCTATTTTCATTTCCTGCATATTTCACTGCCATTGATGTTAGGATAGAAACAAGGTTATTGGTCCAGCAAGTTCTAATCCACACTATTTAATGTCAGGAGCACTAGCAGCTCAATCTTGACATATTCAAATATTTAAGGGGCAGACAAAACTTCCATTGCCAATTAGAGAGGAAAAAATATATTCTGGAAGCTATGTCAGATAGCTGCATTTCATTGATTGTGAACAAGTCATGACACGTTATGAGACTATTATTCTTGTATGATGAAGCAAGAGGTCTTGGAATTATAAAGTATTTATTTTGCACTTTTATTTAAGGTAGAAAGCAGATCAATATTCAACATTTGCACAAGAGTGAAAGATGTCCTTAAAAAAGAATATACAATATAAGGAGATAGAGAACATAAGTTTCCTTCTCTTATATTCAACTGAAATCCTTTCACAATAGGTGTGCAATGTTCCACATAAAACTACTTACCTTATCAACATGTTCCTTAGAATTGTGAAGTCACAGTGTTCACCATTTTCAACTGTGGGGAAGAAGGTAAAATGTATGTTAAGACAGTGTAACCAAAACTTGTGTCATACAGGAGGTAGAGGGAGATATTGAGATTGAATATATTTGAGCATTAATGTTTTCCTATGTATAAATCTCCCATTTCCCTACACGTGCCCCCATATTTCTTTTCCAGAGAGAATTTTACACTTTTCATTCCAGATTACGTCAAAAAGCTTAACAGACACATCACTCAACCTACCACTGAAATGCAGTAGCTGTTGGAGGGTACGTAACATTTCACAAGCTCAGGGCAGAAAGTGAAGAACAATTTTCAAATGTAACAGGTGAATTTAAAGTGACACCAACTTTTAAAAAATTGTGTTAATTTTTTCATCTATATTGATACAAATAGCACCTAAGATTACTATAATTGAAAGATGAGAGAGTTCTAAATGTCAATGTGTACTTAATGAAACTAACTAAATAATGGCTGTTTAATGTACAGCTTCCTCTACATGGGGAAGTCTCAGTGCAACAGAGAGAAAAATATTTAAGATATATCATAAGAAAATGTGATTGTAAAATAAATTGGTAGGGGAATTCAGGGGCAAGTGTAGTACTTTAAATTACACTTAAAAAAATTGATTAGATTTCAAGTTGACAGTGCCTCTATGCAAGTAGAAAGCAATAATCCCAACTGCATTTAATCATGATTCTGGAACAGACATCCATATATAGGTTTGCAAAGAGCCACTGAACCCTGTACTATCTGAGACAAATTCCATATAGATATGTTACAAATTTTGGATTGCCATATTACCACATAAAAATACAAAATCAATTTTACAAGTGAAGTGACATCAAATTTGATACCAGGTAAGGTCTGCAAATTTAACAGATATAACTTCGAAAAATTTACTGTTGTAATGTCTGAACTTCATAGTACTGGAAGCAGACACAAATAAACCACACTTTTATGCATCACCTTTAAAATATTTACATACGAGTAAAGGTATTTAAACAATCCAGGAACTTTAAGACTATATGTTGACTTCGCCAGAGAGCAAGGGTAAGAAAAATCAGCACATAACTGACTAAACTCATTTTCCTAGTCCCCAGTGTCCTGATTTGCCAACTTCTTCCCCAAATAAGGCTCCAACACACCAAGCCACGTGCCATCACACCAACCATGTGACCTCTCCTGAGAACAAAGTCTATCAGGATCAGGAAAATCCTGTTTTTAAAATGTTGCGTGTATTATGTATATTTACTTCAGAAAGACCAAATCTATCTTTAATTACACCCAATTAATCAAAAGTTCTTAAATTAAAAAGGAACTATGTAATCTGACAAAGAATCCTACAGTAAAAGAAAAATGTAGTACACTATATTGACAGCAAATCCCTTTTCAAATGAGAGTTATAAAAGTTTGTTTTTAAAGTAAAGAACGGTAGCACCATTTAGTATTTCAAATGTCTAAACCAAGAGCCTTAACATCCCCCCCCCCCAATGTTCTACTGCAGCTGGTTTATACTCTACACCAAAACCCATTTCCTGTCAGACATGCACTTCAAAGAACTACAGCACTTCCTTTAACGTATATGTACATAGTGTGCTGTTTTGTTTAGTACTGCATTAACTTGGTTCACAGTTAAGCTGCTTTAAAAAAAATTGGCTTCATAAAGTGTATGGATAAGACAATTATTGTGGTAAATACAATGTAAAACAATCTATGGTGGTCACTCCAACGTATGTTGCAGCTGGGTGCATACATATGCAAACCAAAGATACAATAAAACTTCCGGTTTCAGAGTAGCAGCCGTGTTAGTCTGTATCAGCAAAAAGAACAGGAGTACTTGTGGCACCTTGGAGACTAACAAATTTATTTGAGCATAAGCTTTCGTGGGCTACAGCTCACTTCATCGGATGTTCTTTTTTTAATAGAACTTCCCTTCGCAAAGGCAGCTGTTGAAGCCTCTGTGTTTGGGTTTTCATATACCACATTTATCATGCATGCAAAGAGGTAATGAATGGTATGCAGCAGGCAAATAATATTAAATAATAACAGTTCTCATAAAAACCAGTTATCTTCAAATCTATACTAAAGCAACAAACTACATATATTTCCACTTACAACAGGTACAAAAAAGCAAATATCAAACTTTAATTAGACTTTACATGGGTTGTTAAATGAAAATGCATCTTTGAACTTAATGTAAGATAAAATTTTCAGCATGTTCAACTCTAAAGTCAACAGCTTTAGGGAAAACAACAATTTATTATAGTCTAGTGAAAATAAGATAATCTGCCAGGAATTTTAAATTGTATTTATTCTAGCCTAGATGATCAAACAAACATCCCTAATGTGAAAGCCCCTGGAAACGAGAGACTAGGAAACGGATAGTTTATGTAATAAACCATATGGACATTTCTGCAACACTGAAGTGGAAATATTATGAGCACTAGTAAACAGCTGAACATCAAGCATAATCTTGTTTATGTAATGAAGTATGAACTGAAATTAAAGTAAGATACTGCAGTTTAATTACAGTTCACTGGACTATACCGCCATGGGTCTTGAACAGATGATTCATAAGCAAAAACTTAAGTATATCTTTTATAAAACATTTAACTTTGGCAAGACTGCATTTGTTCTGAGGCTGGAAAAAGATGCTTTACACAAACTGTAGCACTGCTGAACAAAATCTGCAGGTTTTATTAAGTTTTCAGGTGCAAATACTTTAAAGTAAGTTAAAGTGTTTGAAGCAAAGACTGCAGTTTTTTTACATCTCAAGTATGCACTTACATTACAATTAATAAAAAAGCGACAAATACTGAAAAAAAGTTTACCTTCCGCAACACCCCAAGGATATTGCCTTCCTCTGACTCTCTTGCCATTGACTTCAATGATAGTATTACTACCTACCACAGCAAGAGGTAAACGGTCCTAAAAGATACAAAAAAGTATGATTTTTCAATACCAACGTGTCTTCTGCCTAAAGATATTGAAATAAAGCATAAGTATAAACTTGATACAAAACAAAGTGGAGTTTTATTATTCTGTAATCCAGCTCACCAAAAGTTCAGGGAAGCTTGTACTATTACTGATATGTACCAGTTACAGGAGATTTATCCAACTTTGAAATTCTCTGTATTCTGATTGGTCTGTAAATCTGATACAGTGATTTTATAGATCATATAGCATGCAACCCCATGTACTGATTAACAAGGGTTGTCAGCCAGTCTGAGTACAGGGTTTTGATCACTGGTTATTTCTCAACCTTTACAGTGATTATGTAATTCACTAGTCTTAATGGCTATTATAATGTTTGCTTTGACTGAATCTTGTACTCATAACTTTCGAATTGATTGTGATCAAAAATGGCTGCCTTGGCTGATGCAGAACTCAAATTTACATAAAAGAAAAGCTGTCAATTAGTTTAAAGCAATATTTTACAAAGTTAACACCATCTCTCTCCTACCTCTATTCTGCTTTTCAGTGTATAGGCTAGCAAGGCTCATCACCAGATCAATTCCTATATCTGTTTGTGTTTATCCTGGGAGAATCCTAGGTCTTCCTCATTCTAATTCTTTTCAATACACAATGCAAACAAAAATATTACATCTTTTCTAGGAAGAAGAACCTTGTTAAACCATTGGGAATAAAAAGAAATATAGCTGGGGAAATGGACTGAGGGAAACAAAATATGATGGAATGCAGTATGAGAGAAGGACCAAGGGTTTTTCAATTGTTTAAAAGTTTGAGCTTTTCGCACTTTGAGGGCCCTTTTTGGTTTTCTGCTGCTTTTCTCCTCAATTGCAGTTTTAGCATACCAATCACTAGAGGGTGCTTCTATTTAACTCTGTAATAAGCGTACCCTGTGCGGTTGCACACCTATGCTTTGGGCCTCCAAGTTTATTACTTATTTAAAAAAAAAAAAAAAAAAAAACCAAAAAAATTATTAAAAAAAAAAAAAAAAAAAAAAAAAAAAACCCTACCAATTATTCTACAGCACTGGTTCAAAACACAAGAGTGTTACTGAAGTGTTCTTGACCACTGATTAATATTTTTAAATAAGGGATTTCGCACAGGATATTGTTACTACATTCAACAGGAAATGTTTTTAAATAAATTATTTGTATTATGGCAGCACTCAGGAATCCCAAACAAGGTTCAAGGACCCACTATGCTACACACAGTACAGACAAGGTAGAATACAGCCATTGTTCCAGAGTTCACAAATGGACATCAAACAGGTAGATGAAACAAACAATGGAGATGGATTGGAAGGATAAGGAGGTAATAAACTCTCATAAAAGTGTTAATTAAATGTATATTGACTATAGTTTTTATTCTAAAATTTACTTTTAAGAAGGGTTGTTGATTAATCGCAGTTAACTCACGTGATTAACTCAAAAAAATTAATCGCGATTAAAAAAATTACTCACAATGAATCAGTTTTAATCACACTGTTAAAGAATAGAATACCAATTGAAATTTAAATATTTTGAATGTTTTTCTACGTTTTCAAATATATTGATTTCAATTACACCACAGAATACAAAGTGTACAGTGCTCACTTTATATTATTTTTATTAAAATATTTGCACTGTAAAAATTAAACAGTATTTTTCAATTCACCCCATAAAAATACTGTAGTGCAATCTCTTTATTGTGAAAGGGCAAATGTAGATTTTTTTGTTACATAACTGAACTTAAAAACAAAACAATGTAAAACTTTAGAGCCTACACGTCCACTTAGTCCTGCTTCTTGTTCAGCCAATCGCTAAGACAAACAAGTTTGTTTACATTTCCATGCTGATGATGCTTGTTAAAAAAATAATGCATTAATTACATTTGTGACTGAACTCTTTGGGGGTATGTCTCCTGCTCTGTGTTTTACCAGCATTCTGCCATATATTTCATGTTATAGCAGTCTTTGATGATGACCCAGCATGTTGTTCGTTTCAAGAACACTTTCACTGCAGATTAGAAATCTCACATTGGTACCTTCTTTGCATTTTGTCAAAAGATAGCTACAGCACTTCACCCAAGGTTTAAGAATCAGAAGTGCCTTCCAAAATCTGAGAGGGATGAGGTGTGGAGCATGCTTTCAGAAGTCTTAAAAGAGCAACAGTCCTATGCGGAAACTACAGAACCCGAACCACCAAAATAGAAAAATCAACCTTTTGCTGGTGGCATCTGACTCGGACGAAGAAAATGAACATGTGTCAGTCTGCACCACTTTGTATCATGAGCATGGACGCATGTCCTCTGCAATGGTGGTTGAAGCATGAAGGGACATACGAATCTTTAGCGCATTTGGCATGTCAATTTCTTGCGACACCGGCTAGGACAGTGCCATGAGAATGCCTGTTGTCACTTTCAGGTGACATTGTAAACAAGAAGCGGGTAGCATTGTCTCCTGCACATGTAAACTAACTTGTTTGAGCGATTGGCTGAACAAGAAGTAGGACTGAGTGGACATGTAGGCTCTAAAGTTTTACATTGTTTTGTTTTTGAATGCAGTTATTTTTGTGCATAATTCTAAATTTGTAAGTTCAACTTTCATTATAAAGAGCTTGCACTACAGTACTTGTATTAAGTGAATTGAAAAATACTATTTTATTTTTACAGTGCAAATATTTATAATAAAAAATAAAGTGAGCACTGTACACTTTGTATTCTGTGTTGAAATTGAAATCAATATATTTGAAAAAGTGGAAAACATCCAAAAATTTTTAAATAAATGGTATTCTATTATAGTTTAAAAGCACAATTATTTTTTTAAAATCACTTGACAGCCCTACTTTTAAACGAAGATTATTCAAAAGCTCATTAAAACGATCTCTAAAAAAGGTCATTAATTCCAACAACAAAATTGCCATCTGCAGGCTTGAATGAAGTTTCTAGTGTGGTCTATCTGGGGGGGGACGGGGCCTGAGTTTAGTGGCCTGCTAAGCAAGGGTAAGAGCTTCCTAACAAGGCTCTAGCCAGATCATCCTTTGATCCCTACTACCTTTAGCATCCCTTGACAAGGGGGTGGGGCTAATTTAGGGAGAACAGGGGTCTAAAAAGCCAGCTCGCAAGCAGAGGAGCTAGCAAACCGGAGCAGCAAACAGGGGAGTTCAGTGAGAGAGTGTTCTCCAGGTGAAGGAGGAGTGATTATGTGACCCTTGGGGTGAGTTCGTTGTGTGCTTGCTTGCCATATGCCTGCTTGATTGAAGTTTATAGTTTGGTCTGTGTGCTGAGCCTAGGCTGAGAGCTTCCTAAGAAGTTTCTAGCCTGCCATTCTTTTATACTTAGAATCCCTTGACAAGGGGGCAGGGCTTACTCAGGGAAAATGAGGGTTTAAAAAGCCAGCTTGTAATTGACCAGATGAGCTAGTGAACAGGGGACTTTTGTGAGAGAGTTTAGAGAGGGAGTGCGAGAACCAGAGACACCTAATAAATATTCTCTAACTTAGGCCAATAACCAGCCCACGCAAAAAAATATACACACAGAGAACAAACAAAACCCTGCACGATTAAAAATAATGCAGGCAGAAGTCGAGTAATTGAGTCGGGGGCTATCCAGTATATTGCACTGAATGCAGCATGTATGTTTACCTGCCTTCTGGGCAGGTGGCATGTTTGTGCATTTGGTGCAAGCAACTCATGGCCCTCAGAGACAGAGTACAGGCTCTTGAAACCAAAGTGACTGAACTGAAGGCACAGAGAGACAAAGTGGTACACAGACGAGACTTTCCGGGACACAGCAGAACAGTCCCATCCCAGACTGACAACCCTTATGCTGTTGAGGAGGATGAAAGTCTTGAGGAAGGAGAACATCAAGCTGGAGTGGAGAGAAATGATCCCATAGTTGGAACCCTTGTTCCAGATGATGTCATGGCATCCTCTCGCACTGAGGATACCTGTCCAGGGGAGGAGGACCCCCGTTATTAGGAAGAGACAGGCAATAGTAATGGGGGATTTGATTATTATAAACATAGTTGGGTTTATGATGACCAGGAGAAGTACATGGTGAATTGCCTGACGAGTGTGAAGGTTATAGATCTCGAGACATTTAGATACACTTATGTGCAGTGCTGGGGAGGAGCTGGTGGTCATGGTACATGTAGGTACCAATGACATAGGGTAGACATAGGGAAATTTAAACTACCACTTATGTCAGCAAAATTTATGTGGCTCAGAGGTGTGAATATTCCACCGCTCTGAGCAACATAAATTATGCTGGCATAAGCACTAATGTGCACAGCACTATGTCAGTGGGAGAGCTGCTCCTGCAGAGCTACTGTCACCCACTGAGGGTGGATTATGTTGACAGGAGGGCTCTCTCTGTCAGCACAGAGCAGCTACACAAGAGATCTTACAGCAGTGCAGCTGCATCAGTACAGCTGTGACACTGTAAGCTCTCTAGTGTAGACATAGCCTTAGGCTGCTAGATGAGTTATTAAAATCCAGGACTTCCTTGGTAGCAGTCTCTGAAACGCTTTCAGATCTACACACAGTCATTTAGACAGGCTGAACTGCAAGGTCTCAATGAGCGGATGAGATTATGGTGTGCAGAGGAGAGATTTAGGTTTATTAGGACCTGGGGAATCTTTTGCGAAAGGAGGAGCCTACATAGGAAAGATGGGCTACACCTAAACCACCACAGAACCAGATTGCTGGCATGTAAAATGTAAGAGGTCACAGAGGCGTTTTTAAACTAAGGGCAGGGGGAAAGATCACAGGTGCAGAGGAGCACACGGTTCAGACAGACACATCCCGTAGTGGAGGATTTATTAAAGGGGATACTCTATATTCTAATAAAGAGGAGAGGATATAACTTGGTAAATACAGGTAGGAACTGAAGCGAAGCAGTCAAACAAAGAAGTCCCATTCCATCACATCACATAAAGGCAGACAACTAAATACTGACAAATTTATAAATGCTATGGTTGAAGTCTAAATACTAAGATGAGTGAACTTGAGTGCCTGGTATTAAATGAGAATATTGATATAACAGGCAACACAGAAACTTGGTGCAATGATGATAACCAATGGGACACAGTAATACCGGGCTACAAAATACATAGGAATGGCAGAGTAGGTTGGGAAGTGGCAGTATATGTGAAAGTCAGCAGAGTAAATATCTTAATTGAATCCAACACTATCACAGAATTTCTATGGATAGAAATTCTATGATTGAATAAGAAGAGTATAGTAGTAGGAATATACTACCAATCACTATACTGGTGATTGTGAAATGCACAGGGAAATTAGAGAGGCTACAAAAACAGAAAACCTAACAATAATGGTGACTTTCAACCATCCCCATGTTGTCTGAGAACATGTTGGCTCAGGATGGGATGCAGAGATAAAATTCCTAGACACCATTAATGACAGCTTCTTGGAGCAACTAGTCTTGGAGCCCTCAAAAAGGGTAAGATCTTCCCTCTCCCCTATGACGAAAGGAAATTATCTATTGGTGAACAGTATGTTGCAAAATGATCTACCTTTATCTTTTTAACCAGCTTATTTTCTTCTTCATCATCTGTTTCTGGAAATTCGTATATTTTAATTTTGTGCTCTTGGATTTCTTTCATAATCTAAAAGTGAAAACATTGCGTTACTAACAGTCAAACAATCAGTAAAATTATTACTGAAGCATGCATTATTTACTTGCTGTCACCTGGTCATTCTACTCCCTCCATTTGGCATTGGGGAATTCTCTGCTTTTTAAACTGACTTTTGCAATGAAGTTAATGCCTCAGATGATTGCTAGTGTACGTGAAAGATAGGTGAAATATACTCAGAAAATCCACCAATAATCTAATTTTTGGAAACTTGTCTGAAATTTAACCGTGGAATTTTCCATTTATTGCACATAATCTAAATAACCTGTTCTTTCAATAAAACTTTCTTCACAAAAGTTTGAATGATTTTCAAGCATAGTTAAATAATACAAGTTCCTACTGTAGTTACTGTTGTCACTCCTACTTCTGTTCACCTCCAGCTCAGCTGAATTGGCACTGCTTGAAGCAGTGTCACCTGCCTGTCCCTCTCAGCAGAATTTGTGACAGGTGGACTGACTCCAGTGGCAAGCACAGAACAAAAATGAAAATGTTAGTGAAAATTTAAGAGCAGCTGAGTGTCTTAAAAATTAAGACTCTCACTGTCCTAATTTCTAAATTACCTATTTGAAAGTTATTTTTAATAAATCTGATTTCAGTTGTCCAGAATTTTGGAATAGGAAAGCGCTATATCATTTAAAAACAGACATTGCTGTGGCTAGAGGATGTAGTGTTTTGTATATAATTTTGCAGCTTGAGAGAGGTTTCTAGTATGCAACTCTAGTGCAAGGTTTTATTTTCAAGAGACTGATTTAGGAAAAAAATTGAAGAATGGCAACAAAAATATACAACATATTAAACAAGCTGCATACTTATTAACAATAAGCAACAACATTCTGCCACCTTCCTCCTATCTTTGTACATGAAGTTCTACATGATAGAAATATCTCAAAATGGAATTCATGTCCGCTCTCCCATGGAGAGCGGGAATGGCATTCCCTTTATAGTCCCAAACCCAATTTTTTACCATGCTGTCTACCTATTTTATTAAAATTGTCTTTTCAGAAGCTGGATCCTCTAGAAACTTGCACTAGAAACAGTACAAAAAAAATTAATTTGCCTCTTCACTTTCCCACTCCTCCCACTCCCCTCAAAAGAACAAATTATGCCACTGCGATGATTCACTCTGTAGCCACCGAGGAGATGACTCTCAAGCCTATTCTACAAATCTAATACACGAGAACAATTTTGCAGCCACACCTATATTACAACAATATCACTATCTTTAAAATTTAAATACTGGAGTTCTGATAAGCAGCTTCAGATTAAGTGTCACATATAACGTCCTTTAGCTAGCTACTTGCTCCTCTTTAGTCTTGATGGTTTCATGCACTTAATTTGTTAACATTTCCATATAACCAATGAGACTGGTAAAACAGGCATTTCACACTTTGTTCTATAACTATCTCAACTTTGAAAGCTCCTTTTCATGCTTTCACTGTTAAAGACACAAATTCAGTACACATATTTCACTCATCAAGAATCCCACAGCACTTTTAATATTTCTCCCCCAAGGATAAGATCGTCCCACCAATATATTCAAAACTAGTGATATGTTACAGTCAGTTTTGCAGCTTTGAGGTACTGCTTTGAAGTTTAATCTTAACTGTATGAAAAATTAAAATTAATTAATTGCATGGAAACCAAAGCACTAAATCAGGATATGTTGTAAATATATATTAATCTTTCAACTCACCTGTTTTTTAAATTGTTGGCATTCCTCAGGTGTAAGTGTGTCTGCTTTGGCAATAAGTGGAATGATATTGACTTTTTCATGCAGGCGCTTCATAAACTCAATATCCAAAGGCTTAAGTCTGAAAAACAGCATTAGAGTCTTGTAATTTAATTCTTTAAGCACTGAACATTAGATCCCCTAAAAAAATATGCTCTGTTTTCCACAGCATTTATCAAACTTAAGAACATAAGAACAGCTGTCCTGGGTCAGACTTAAGGTCCATCTAGCCCAGTATCCTGTCTTCTGACAGTGGCCAATGCAAGGTGCTGCAGAGGGAATGAACAGAACAGGTAATCATCAAATGATCCATCCCCCATTCTTTTGGGAACTCCCCTCCTTGAGGAAAATGCAATCAATTATATCCACTTCAACTCTCATGTCATGTTTAAGGCTAACCTCTTTAAATGTACAGCTCATATGCACCTGACAGGCAGTCCTGCCCGCACTTTGGAAATGCTGACTTACTGGAAGTAAAATGGATGAGTGCACTTGTTACTGCATAAGTCTCTAACAGTAGCAATAGCATATTGTTCACTTTAATGATTTGATGCTTGAAAGTAGGTTCTGGAGACAAGAAGGTGGAATACCACTGCACATTTATATAAATGAGTAATGTGGGCTATAGGTTTCTTGATAATGCTACAGAAGAGTGATTAACTGGAGCATGAACTCTAGGTCTCTCAGTTTTAAAGTGTTCAATTTTATTCTTTACAAAATAATTTTCAAGTTATTTCTTCTGACAGACTGAGAAGCCACAGCACTGACTAAAATAAAAAGCAAGCTTCTTGACATAGCACTACCAAAGATCTTCAGACGTGACCTTCAGAAATATCCTTGTTTTATCCAAGCCTGGGCCCCTCAAACAGGGAGACCACCAACTATGATTATGTAATGTGGACAGGTATCCACCAGGATGATATCAAATTCATTTTCATTTGTTTCTCCATGCCTGACAGTAAGATCACTATCGAGATTACAATCATAGAAAGATGATCTTGTTAGTGATGGAGATGTGAACCATGTCTGAAGTGTCCTAACTTTGTCTAGCATTTCTGTCTGTTCAGGGTAAAGCAGTTCGGTTGTACGAAAGCTCCAAGTTTTTCCCCAGAGCCCTAAAAATTGGCAGTCTCCCTACACTTTATTCTCATGCATTCTTTCCTATTTTAATTATGGCAGGACTTTATTAATACCACCCACCATTCTTTAAACCAAGAGACCTAAATAATCTAAATACTCTGAAACTTCTTAAATGTTGACTACCATCGCGATGCACAATTAGATAATTTGTTGGATAGTCCTAAACCTTCCATCAATCCTGTGAAACAACCCAACGTTCCCAATACAGTTTGTTGTGAAAGCACTTAAGTGTTTTGAACCACCATAATGTGAGAAAAATTCAGATGCAGCTGACCCGTGAAGCGGGTTAAGCACACTTTTTCAATTTCCTAACCCTTGAGATTATGACTCTCCATGCAGTAAATCAGCCTTTGTGGTTGCCACATCTCAAAAAAGATATATTGGAATTAGGAAAGGTTCAGAAAAAGCAACAAAAATGATTAGGGGTATGGAACAGCTTCCATATTAGGAGAGATTAATAAGTCTAGGACTTTTCAGCTTGGAAAAGAGATGACTAAGGGGGGATATGATAGAGGTCTATAAAATCATGACGGGTGTGGAGAAAGTAAATAAGGAACTATTATTTATTCCTTCTCATAACACAAGAACTAGGAGTCACCAAATGAAATTAATAGGCAGCAGGTTTAAAACAAACAAAGGGAAGTATTTCTTCACACAATGCACAGTCAACCTGTGGAACTCTTTGCCAGATAATGTTGTGAAGGCCAAGACCATAAAAGGGTTCAAAAAAGAACTAGATAAATTCATGGAGGATAGGGTCCACCAACGGCTATTAGCCAAGATGGGCAGGGATGGTGTTCCTAGCCTCTGTTTGCTAGAAGCTCAGAATGGGCGACGGGATAGATCACTTGATGATTACCTGTTCATTCCCTCTGGTGTTGGCCACTGTCAGAAGACAGGATACTGAGCTAGATGGACCTATCAAGAACATGGTCTGAAAAGAAAGCCAATTTCCTATCTCTATACAGATGCCCCCCGACTTATGCAATCGTTCTGTTCCGGAAAGCCTTGCGTAACTCGAATTTTGTGTAAGTTGGAAACATATACCCATATATTATGCAAAAATTTCCGCAACTCCAAAATCCTATTTCTGGTTTATGGAATTTTTTCCGTAAATGCGAAAAATTTGCGTAAGTCAGGTCTTGTGTAACCTGGGGAGCGTCTGTACAAATAAACTTCATGGTGCAGCAGTTTCTCATGGACCTGACCTCCATTCAGAACTTGTCAAGACCACCCCTATAGTCTAAGGCAGTGGTTCCCAAACTTTTCAGGGTCACGCCCCCCCTACGCTTGTCCGACCCTCCCCCACTGAAGCTGGAGTCAAGGGCAGGGGGCACGGCTCTTCTGGAGGATAGGTGGGAGAACATGGACAGGGTTAAGGGGGGAGAGGCTGGGGCCAGAGCTGGGGTCAGGTCTGGGACCAGTGCTAGGAACAGAACTGTGGCCAGGGGCTGGGAGCGGGGTCAGAGCCTCAACTGGGCCGCAATCAGGGGTCAAGGCTGGGAGTGGGGATGGTTATGGAGCTGGTTAGGGGCCAAGGCTGGGGCCGGGTGCAGAGCTGGGGCCACGGCCAGAGCAGAGCTGGGAGCAGAGAGGGGCTGGGTTGTGCTCCCTCCCTGCCCCCCACGGGGGCTAGCCCAGGCCCCGCCACCCCACCGAAATGTTCCTCCACGCTGCCCATAGTTTGGGGACCTCTGGTGTAAGGCCTAAGTTTGATAAGAGAGCAACGGAAGTGAATCTATCTCCCCTTCCCCAAGAGATACCTAGCAGTGCTGTCAACCCCCTTTAGGCTAGAGAAAAATAGCTCAAATTCAGAGTCTGTTCTCTTGCCTGCCAATAATGATGACACTAGGCCACCTGAATAGTTCTCTCCTCTTATTTATTTGGAACAGAGTACAAATTGCAAGGTTAAATTAAAATGTACTCTACAGTTACAATGTTTCCCAATTTAAACTGAAACTGACCTACATTTAATTCAATGCTCTGAAAAGAACGAAGAACTTTGAGTGTCAAATGTCAACAGTACAGTGGCACATTCTTCACCTAAATGGTTGTTCGATAAAGTAGAATACCAATTTGGGTATCAATAGGGAATAAAGTTTGTTACTTTCATTTATTTCTTACATTCTGTGCTTGATATTCTAATATTTTAAATGTAAGATGGATTTGACGAATATAGAGGTGAGGCATTATGACAAAACACCTAGACCTCCAAGACTAATACTCCAAGACTAATACTCTAAGATTGTATCTTGGAAACATGCTGCTCTGATTTATAACATGTACAGATATGACTTCAATAAAAAGTTACATTATAAAAAAAAGTTTATACTGGGATTAGATCAAGCCACTGTCAACAGATTTGACTTTGTTTATATTTATACTAACCTCTCATTTAAATTTCTCCCCCACACTTGAATTTAGTACAGGACTGTTCAGGACAGATTGTCAGAACTGGAAAATTAGTGTTATACACTGAATGGATACTACATTAGCAAGGGCGACACAAGCTTCCGCTTCCACCAAAATAACCCAATCCTGGTCTAGAGGACAAACCCTAGGGCTGAGAATTCTGTTCAGCTTCCATGCTGATTAAGTTATCTGAAGGGCCAAGACAATTAACAAGACTGGCAATTGCATGAAGAGTCCACCGTGAGTGGATTTATTCAGTTTATTTCACTTAAGCAGCTGGGAAACTGGATTCAAATCAGCAAAAGGCTGTGTACATTTCAACTCATCTTGTATTTTTAAAATCTATGAAAAATAGAAATTGTTTGTTCCCATGGACAAATGCTGGAATCTCATTTATTCGGTGCTATCGAACCCAGACGGGCTGGCAAAGGCTAAAAAATTTTAAAATACTACATGCACCTGAATTTCTTTAAATAATATTTATAAGGATTTAAAGCTGTAATCCAATAAACTCTCGTGGAAAGGTACTTAGCACTAGCTACTGTATATGTGGAATTTTTAGCTTTTCAACTATAGTTAAAAAAATCAAAACTTCCATTAAGCATCAAAAACAATGCATATTAGTTTGTTAAGAAAAATCACAAACATGGCGATGTGAGCCCATTTTAGCATGTCCAGGCCAAAAGCTTCAAAATTTAACACAAAACTGAGGGGACAATATACTGAAGCAGAGAGGTATTTCACAATGTCATCGGCTGTTGTAAACAGAAATACTGGAGCTAACAGCCTCAAATAAAAAGGGAGTGGATAATTCCAGGGAGTTTTCCATGAGAAATCCAATTCATAAATGAAAAGGGAGTGAATGATGCCAGGGAGTTTTCCATGAGAGATCCAATCCTGGAACTCAATCCCAATTCTTGGTGATTACTACACCCCAGTTTGTTAATCTACTGGGCATGCCATCGGGTTCACTTAATTTCTCAAGCTATTGCTGAGGGTGTGCGTGGTCTTCAGGTGAAAGGAGCTTGCTGTCCCTGTGTTTATTTTTCAGCAGTTGGGGCAGTCTTTCTGGATTTAATGTGATTATTTTTCATGTACATACAAGTGCTAACACTTCAATTCAATTTTTATTTAATGAAAAAACTTAAGAATTTTAAAACGAAGAGAGCAAAGAAAAGATACCTGCTCTACACATATTTTTACCCATTGTAAATGGTGTTTTGTTTTATTCAGAATAGACAGACAGATTTGTTTCACTTGACAATGACAATTATATAGGCCACAGTGAGCCCAGGAAACAAGATCAGACCATGTAACACCATAAAAAACCGGTAGGAAGTGAGTAATATTCTTTACAGACAAAGCAATATCCTTAAAATAAATAAAAAAAGGGGAAAAAATAGTAAATAGACCTCAGTCACTTTATATTCCTTGAGTACACTTAAGTCTTCTTGATTCAGTTGGTATTTTGGGGCAGTCAGATTCTGGGGTGCAATCCAGACCAGTGAGGGGCTGTGTCACTCCCTGCCCCGTAACCATGGGTACCTCACAATGCTTTACTATTGGAGCTTCCAATCTAAGCTACTCACAACCAGCCTGCCAGTATGCAGGTCACACCCTGAGTATCTGTGTGCTAGACAGCACTGGTTCAGGAGCTCTGATCCCAGCAGCCTATCTACAGCCCTACCCTGGCTTCCACCAGCCTTGGTTTACTACTTTGCAGGGTGACCCTTGCTTTCCATTTCTAGTTTAAAATACAAATGTAACAAGCAGAAAAAGTCACTCACAAATTAATCAAAGTTGTAATACCACAATAAATTGCTGTACACCTCCAATTTCAGATTAACATGGCCCAAGATCAAGTACTCCAAAAGTGCAATTTTCTCTCTCCCCCAGTAGAGAGAAGTCTGACCAAGTTAAAAGTGAGATGGAGTGGATGAAAGTTTGCATAATAGTGAAATCTGTGAATTAAAGTAGAATTTCAGTATTAGGAGTTTTCAACTCACTGAACAAAAGCCATGCTAAGTCCCAGTATGAATTTATGGCAAATATGAACCACTTGAATATATAGGTACATTTCCCCTCCCTTTTGAGTTATCATTTGAGTTCAAAGAAAGTTGAAAATTTGTTGGCTGAGTTCTGGGAGCATCTTCTACAGTTAAAATGTTTAATAAATTGTGTGATAATACAGACAGAATGGCATTAGGGGAATGAAAAACATACAAATGTTCACAAAATGGGATAAACTGACAATTTTTTTCTTCGTAACTAATCTTATTTCTTGGTATTCTGATTTATTACAAGTCTGGTTTGTTAGTGTTTGACAAGCCAAATTAAATTACCCCATGAAATTAAACAGCCTGCAGTCTATTAATTGAATAATCCTGACTTGGAATTTTGCATATTTTAGGAATGCCAAAGTTTGAAAGTGCATTTGAGATAGAATTGGGGGGGAAACACACATTAAAATATTAAGATACTAACCCATGTCCTGAAGGAGCAATGAAGTATAAACAACACTGCACCCTATTATCTGGCATCTGACGTCGATTCACACGAGATTCTGCATTCAGGTAGTCTTCAAACTTACTGTCAATGTAGTCAATAACAGGCTGCCAACTACAGAGTGTACATAAATAAAAATCTGTAAGACCAGTTATACATATCGCATATGCATTAAACATCAATTACTGAGATACACATACTGTTTATCTGTTTTCAGCAAAGTTAGTGTATGTACAGTATTGCTAGCGTATCTAGTTTAAAAATACTGAAATATTTAAATGTCGGAGGAGAGATGGACAAATTATATTCTAAACCACTTTAAAATAACAGAACTCTACTTTTAACTTGAATGTTAGCCAATGCATTCCTAAATCCTAGAAAACTTAGTAAAAGGGAAAGAATAAAGGATTAAATATTTTAAAGGACCATTCAACTCTTAAAAAAAAAGACAAATAGCACCATAGCGTTAAGACAACAGTCCACATGTCCACTGAAAAGCCCTTTAAACACATCTATGCACTGTAATAGTATTAAACTGAACACTTACGAACAGTAACTAAAGGAATACTCTTTACAGGATGTCAAAGAATTCTAATCCTGTGACATCATAGAAATAATTAGTTTCAGCTTCCTGGGAGCATTGATAACGCACAAAAGGCTGAAGATTCTGTTCATATTCGAGCTAGTTAGAGAGAAGCTGAAAGCATTTTAATCAAATTAAAACGGCAATAGGCAACCCAGCTTTTAAAATAAAATTTCTGGCTAATCGAGAAATTGCCAATACAAATGTATAAAAGTTTAAAGAAGTAAACCTTATGATTTAAAAGAAAAATTGGCATCTTTAAAATGAGTTTTGATACTAAATGATCACAAGGACAATATTATTCAAATTTACTTTGGGAGATCATAAGAAAGTAATTTCTTACCAATTGCTATTATCCACTGCATCTCCAAATCCTGGTGTGTCAACTATTGTGAGTAGTAACTGAACACCACCTTCTTTGATTAAAACTTTTGACTGTTCAACCTATAAGATTAAAAGGATTTAAATTCTCATATAGTAGTTATAATACAACAATGATTTTAAGTCACTTATTTCAATGCAAAAAACCCACAGACTCATTGTGTCTAGATAACCATTAGAATACAAAGTATACATCAACAATTATAGACTTGAGGAATTTTACAGTTCAAAATGGAAGCTGCAAAGACTCATTCTGTCTGTCATCTGACTTTTTATTTAAGCTTTAAGACAAAGTGAGGAAAATTGGATACTATCAAAGTTAGAAAATCTATTTGTAAAGTATGTGAAGAGGAGCTTAATATTTTCACTAGCTGATAGCATTATCCAATATTTTGATTGGTTGGCAGCATTATTTTAATTAGTTCCAATTTTATGCAGTTTTAGAACTCACTTAATTAGAAAAGCAAAGTGACCAATACTGATAGAAATTTAGCAAAAAGATCCCAAGGCTTGCACAGTTCATACTACATCTTGTTGCAACTCAGTATACGTATTCTTACATCCATATATGTGGAAGATCATACTAAGAGAAATTACTCCACTTTACTCCCTTTAAAGGAAGTGACTATACTTTTTTAAAAGGTGAGTAAATCCTGAAATCTACTATTTCTATACATTTTGTTTAAAAATATAATTGTTTTAGAAAATTTAGTGTTTGGTAAAAATCAGTCCCAGAACACAGTCTTCCACTATAAATGATTTTATTTTTCAGTTTTAAAAGCAAATAAGCTCCTCCTCTCTCCTTTCCTTAAAAACATATATTGATTCTTATGAATAGTTAGCAAGATTGCCAACATTAAGTGTTGGTTTCTTGGGCAGAGACAACATATATAGCTTTTTAAAAACTCAGCTGGAGCTAGTTTTGCCAATATCTGTTCTACAATATCATCCAATCAGGTTTGGGTTATGTACGCGAAGTCCCTCATCCCACCATGAGGTTATCGGTACGAGCCACCAACTTTGCATTAAATTTGAAGCTAAAATGTGACCCCCCTTTTTCATGAAGGCTTATTAGGGTTAGACAAAACCAAAGGAAACAAGATTATTAATTCTGGTCTTTGTTTCTGTCTATTGCAGTAGTCTATGCAGATTGTTTTTCTACACTATGGTAGAAAGGAGATGAGAGGCTCAAGTCCTCACAACCACCCTTCCTTGGGGCAGCAATCATATTTCAAGAATGTAGCAGCACTGTTCAATCCTCTGCCACCTTAAGGTGGCAACTGAAGGAATGCACATAATATGCACAGCACTTTCCAAAGTGTAATGTTCCGTACCTCATCGAGTAGCATGGCTAGCAGGACTCTGCTCCAGGACTTATTTAGCTATGTAAACATCAATGACTAACTCTAGGAATGAAAGCTTTTCCATGCACATTAACTCTTTAGCCTTTCAAACTGCCAAGAAGCTTGGTGGTGGTTTTCCTGCTGTTGACTAAGACAACCAATTGAGATCTAGCAAGTTAAATGACCGTTTCCTAGACCTAGACTCAAAGAGATGTCCTAACGTTAAGAAGCTCTGTACCTTATTACCAATCTTGTAAACCATGCAGCCCTCCAGTCATGTTCATTTGAGTGAGCAAACACAGGCTACAGTTTTAGAACACTATTCCTATATATCTGTTTTCTGTATAAAATACTCCCTAGTCTGGGGCCCTTTCAATTTTTGTTCTTATGACAACTTTCCAGTGAAGTACCACTTTCACAAAAGCCTCAACGACAGACATGACTAAAAGCCCGAACTTTTACGAACAATTTCTGTTATTTGGATGGGCTTCCTCACCAATTACATGATGTAATACAATTTTGCTATTTTAGGGTACAGAGCATGTCAGTGATGCAAAGCGGTTTCTTACACATACATAGCTAACTGCAGAACACAGTGAAATCACCACACTTGAAGTCAGCTGCAAGACACATTGCAACCATTTGCCACATGATCCAACTTAAAGTGAGTCACTAACAAATGGATAAACACCTTTAATAAACCAATAAATCTAGAATATAAACTTTGTAGAAAATGAAACAATAGTCTTGCAGAGACAAAACACTGAACATTATTCAAATAAGAGCAAAGAAAGCCAAGTTGCTGAGGAAGATTCAATGTTTAATCCTAAGAATGATTTTTAGCCTCCTCTACATCTTCAAAACTATGAAATATCAGAAAAAGTGTGAATTAATTTATGCAATAAACAGAAGCATCTCCACACCTGAATCATATTGGCTACTAAAAGGATAGATTTTACATTTTGGACACCCTCACTTGTGCCTAAACAGAAAAAAAAAATATTACTGGCATGGCTAGCCTTAAGTGCAAGCAACAAACACTATTGCTTGGAACCCTACACAGATTCCACAATGTGTGGTCGGATACCCTGACAAATGGATCAAGAGAGGAGGTACACAAGCCTGGATTCTCCCACCCCACCCTCCAAAGGTGGAACCAGACAAGGCCCAATCACCGAGTGAACTAAGTGAATTTGTGTCCATACATGGCCAAAATCTCAGAACACAGCAACATCTGGAACAGATCCAGACAACTGTAAACTAGTGTCATTCACATTTAGAATCCAACTGTATCCTATCATCTGGTTTTACAAGTATTCCCGAGAGATTCATGAAAAACAAATTAGTTCAAGTCCTGGAATTTAAAACTTTTCTTAACAAATCCATTCCAAATAACCATTTTCCCATGCACTTTAGTTAAGCAGGTCAGATTGGTCTATTACACTGGATCCTATCAAACTAAATACAAGTCTCAGTCTCACTACAGTAGACGCTTGTTTGCAGCAACACTTTGTAAGAGCAACCACTGCTTACTGAGAAACATTTCCCCTGGGAACACTTTCCCGACTGTGAATTGTTGACACTCCCCATGACAGCAATAGCCACTTAGGAGCAACATAGCAAAAGGGCACCGATATGTTGGTTACTAATGAGCATCTACTGTATTACTATTGGATCAAGCATTCCTATATCACACACCATTTAAAATATTTAACTGATGATCAAATTAAGTGTATTTTACATAAGATCGCTTACTTTATAGTTTCTTCTGAATTCACTTACCTGAAATCAACTCTGTATAATTTTTGTAAAACATTGCCAAAGTCCTGACTGATGTAAGTTGCAAAGTGGAAACTGAAAATCTTTGTGTGTTTAAAAGAATCCTTAGAATGAAACTTATTTTTCATTTTTTGTTAAATAAAACTATTACCAATAACCTGCCTCGTGATTGTCAAGCACTGCCAAAATTACAGTTCATACTTATGCAGTTAAACTTCTCTATTCTAATCACCTTAACTCCTACTCAATAAATGGTTTTTACAAGATACCGAGGAGCAGGAAAAATAAAGTGTAATTTCTAATAAGAATGTTTCAATCCACATGAACAAGGAACAGCTCAGGTATAGGTATTAACTGGGAATGATAAACCTTAGAGCCCCTGAACATGCTGAATTTCAATTCACTATTTAAATCTGCCCCAAGATCACCCAACATGAGCATGAATATGGACACATGCTGATGCCATGTGAAACGTTATATTAATAGATCAAGAACCTTCTCTACCTAGATATAATAGTTGAATTGGAATCACAATTAAATATCATCAGCCAGTGGAGTCTCTAATACATATAACATTCAAGGTCACAATTCTAATATTTTCCACTATTTACCTAAATGACATTTGAATTAAGAGACAATACTTGTTGATTTTTCAGCCATCACAAGATACAGTTGTACATGAAAAAGCAGACTGCCAGATAAGGGTAGCAACGGATCCTAAATGGATGAATGCCCTTCATACCATTACAATATAAATTTCACATACTTATGGGAACTCCTAATTTAAGCATATGAACAGAAACTGAACAAATTTAAACAAGTGTGGTGGAGTAGTGAGGAGGACTAATTACTTCCAAACCATATGGATGTCCAGTTTCCATTTGTGTTTCAATTTGTATGAACATAAATCAAGTTAGAATCCTCTTCAACCACAAGACAAGACATTTGATTTCACTGAATTCTTACTGGTGGAGTAAAAAAGAGGCATAGTTTTCAGGTATACAGTTAGCAGATTTTAAGGCCAAAAGGGACCATTTTGATAATCTAGTCTGACCTCCTGCATAATAGGACAAAAGAACCTCATCCAGTAATTTCTGCATCAAGCCCATAAATTCTGTTTTGCACTACAGCACATCTTTTAGAAAGATATCCAATCTTGATTTAAAGACTTGAAGTGATTGAGAATCCACCCTGCCTTGTTCCAATAGTTAATTACCCTCACTGTTAAAAAATTGCACCTTATTTTTAGTCTGAATTTATCTAGCTTCAACTTCCAACCACAGGATTGCATTATAATCTGTTCTGCTAGATTAAAAGAGCCATGTACGAAAATCTGTACTCCATGTATGTACTTGTAGACAGTGACCAAGTCATCTTAACCTTCTCTTGAAAAAAATAAAATTGGACTTCCGTCTCTCATTATAAATATGTTTTCCAGATCCTGAATCATATTTTTAGATTTTTTTTTAAATCCTTTCCAATGTGTCAACATCCTTTTTGAAGCATGAACACCAGATCTGGCCATTGTACTCCAATAACTGTCTCACTAATGCTGTATCCAGAGGTAATACCACCTCCCTACTTATATTTCATATTCCTCTGCTTATACATTCAAGGATTATGTTTGCCCTCTTAGGTACAGCTTTGCAATGGGAGCTCATGTTCAGCTGACTATCCATGATTAACTCCAAGTCCTTTTCATTGCCACTGTATTCCAATATTCTGTTTCCCATCTTGTCAGCATAACCTATATTTGTTCCTAAATGCATGACATTGCATTTGGTTGTATTAACATGTACACTGTTCAAGTGAGAAAACGGTTACCTAACTTTTCGTAACTGTTGTTCTTCGAGATGTGTTGTTCACATCCATTCCACATTAGGTGTGCGCGCGCCGCGTGCAAGAGTGTCGGAAACTTTCCCCTTAGTGGCTCCCGGCGGG